ATGTTAATTATTGAAACTGTCCTACCAATTTGGTTTGAAACTGTCTCATTGCTATTTGTTTCTCAATAAAATTATGGAAAAAATAATAATAAAAAAGTTTTTTAAAAAATCTTTATTGTAAGTCCGTGCTATAAAGGAAACTCAGCATACACAGCGACAGTTCAGCACCTCCTTTCCCACATGAGGGATGGAAACTGGTGCTCACACGGAGCTGCACCCCCAGCCCATTTTACTTTCACTCTGATCTTAGAATCCTCCTGTCTCAAGCTCCTAGATGTGGGGACGACAGATGTGTGCCACCGCGCTGCCCCTGCCACCTGTCCTGTCAGACATCCCCTGGGGGCTTTGGTGTGGTACCAGAGGGCCACTGCACACAGATCCTGCAGGCCCAGTTACTGGGACCATTTGGAGACTGGGAACCGGATTGGTACTGAATAATACTGCGGCCTAAGGGAACCCCACCAGATTCAGCATGCCTGAAGATGCTGGCCCCGGGCAAGCGCAGCCCTCACTCACCTGCCTGCTTACAGGAGAAGGCAAAGACGATGATGTCGTCAAAGGCCCATGTGTAGTCAGGGTGGGGGGGGTAGAAGGCCAGGGTCCGGGACGCAGCCTTGCGCAGGTCCACCAGGAAGGTCGAGTGCACCATGGGCACGGCGAAGCAGCCACGGCGCTCCCGCTTGCGGATGGGGATGTAGGCGGGCGTGCGCTTGTAGTAGCCCTGGTGAGGAGGCAGCGCTCAGCGAAGGGCTGCGGTGCCCCAGAGGTGGGCACAGGAAAGACGGCTTCCCGCAGCCGGGAGCGGCTGGGAGCGTGTCTCCGCTGGCCATCCCAGCACTCAGGAGGCTGAGGCAGGGGTAATCTCAAGTTTAAGTCCAGCCTGGGAAAATTAGTGATTTAGCAAGATGCTGTCTCAAAATAAAAAAGGGTAGAGTGAGTATTCGCCCAGCACAGGTCGGGCCCTGCGTGCCACCCCTGGTGCCGAAACAGAAAACTGACAGCAGGAAGTCGGGCAGCATCCTGGCACCGGCCACTCAGCCTGCAGGGGCCCAGCGGCTCCCATCAGGCCCCACCCTAGTCTCCAGCCCCACCCTGATCACCACGCAGGCCCGGGGTCATCCCAGCCACCCAGGCACGGCCGCCCTACCTGGGATGTCATCCCGCACCAGAAGTTGGAGTACGCTGCCCGCGAGTCCAGCATGGGAGCCACCACGGTCTTGTTCTCCGCGATGAGCAGGCGCAGCGTGTCGGGGTGCACCAGGAGGTTGTCTGCGTCCACGAACTGCGGAGGCCCGCGCCGGGGGCGTCAGCGTCAGCACGACCCGCAGAGCTGGCCCCAGCCCACGCCACACCCACCAGGCCTACAGGCTCTCACAAAACTTGTGACCCCGCGGCGGGTACTGACATTGTCCAGTGCCAGCCTCGCGAGAAATTCTCACCCAAGCCCCATTTCACACGCAAAATTAAAATACAGGGCCGGGGAGATGGCTCAGTGGAATAAGGGCTTCCCTCGCAAGCGCAAGGGTCTGAGTTCAATCCCCGGTTCCGAAAAAAAAAAAAATTTAAAATACAGCTTTCCCTTGAGGATGTTTGGGTTTGCAGCCGGGTGCCCGCCCCCGCATCTCACTGCAAAAATCCAAAATGAAAGTCAGAACACTGCCAGTCCACGCGCCGGAGAGGGGGAGGCCCCCAACAGCTCCAGGAGGCTCTGGCTCTGTTTTCCTTTCAGTGCATCCGCTGCACAGATCTGCTTTCTGCGCCCAAGTGTATTTTTAGCACCATTAGGTCCACTGCCATCAGCCACCTCCGCAGTCAGTTCCAGCCAAGGCAGCCTTGTGCGGACAGAGCGGCACTGAGCCCACGCTGCACGCCCCACCCTGCCACCACAGACGGAAGGAACCGACACGGCTGCACACGCAGTGAGCAAGGAGAGCTGCGCAGCCACCGCACAGCCCGACTGCTCCACTCCTCGACTCAAGCCTGGCAGCGTTCGGAGCAGACCCAAAACAGGTCCTTGCAGAGGCAGCAGCGCCCTGGGACAGCCACCGGGGAGACGCCCACGCAGCCACCACCTGTTGTGTGAGTGCAGAGGGATGCAGCCACACCGTGGCATATTTATTACTCAGCCACAAAAAGGTGCATGGCACAGATGATGGGATGTAGCTTGAAAAACACCACACAGTGCCGAGCACTGGGAGCACAGGCCTGTCCTCCCAGCACTTGGGAGGCTGAGTCAGGAGGGTTCCCGGAAGTTCAAGGACAGCCAGGGCTATATAGTAAGTTTAAGGTCAGCCTGAACTATACAGTGAGATCTTGTCTCAAAAAGACCAAACAACGGAACTTAACAAAAAAAGGTATACAGATGTATGTCCATTTTGTATCTGTGTATTCAAAGTGGTTAGGATAGATATATATAGTTACATTCTCTTAATGAATAGAGGGAATTGTTCTAATGGTGTTTGTAAATAGGATATCATGTCCGCATCTTGTACAGCAATTAACCACTAGGAAGAATGTATGCAATATGTTAATTATTGAAACTGTCTTACCAATTTGATTTGAAATTATCTCATTGCTATTTGTTTATCAATAAAATTATGGAAAAAAATTTTTAAAGAAAAATACAAAAAAATAATAAAGAAAAAGTTAGTTATAAGAAGATGGAAAATGTGGGGGCCTGGCCCTAGCTCAGTTCTTTAAGTGGCTGCTTCCACAAAGCTGTCAGCCTCAAGTTGCTGTAGTTGGATCCCCACAACACTCCAGCCAGCCAAACAAGCCCTGAGGGCATTTGGAGCAAAAAAAAAAAAAAAAAAAAACCCTTATTCCATTTTCGGACTGGTGAGATGGCTCAGTGGTCTAAAGCACCTACTTAAAACAAGCTTAGCAAAGCACAGGGAAAGCGGTTCAATCCTCCAGCACCACACGCCAGCCAGCTCCGCCCCCTGGTGGGCTGAGCTGCCCTCCCCCACAATAAATAAATAATTTTTTAAAATGTTTACTTATTTAAAAAAAAGAAGATGGAAAATGAATGAGATTAATAAAATTTGTTTATGAATAAAAAAAGAAAAATGCAGAGTCAAAATACAGAGTAGAGTAAAAGACAGAGAGTGGGAATTGGGGGAGCAGGTCAGTCTCAAAGGGGAAGGAGACCAAGAGATGGTGGAGGAGTGAGAGGGGAAGGAAAAGGAATGAAAGAATCAGATGTGTTGCAGATGAATCTTATCTATTAATAAAAATAATTTTTAAAATGTCTTCATCCAAAACAAAAGACCCAACAAAAATATACAAACAAACAAAAAATCACAACACGAGTGATAGAACCAGGAGCCCACATGCTGTGTGACACAGGTATGCAACGTGCAGGACAGGGAATTCACAGCAACAGGAAGCACAGGGTGGCTGCCAGGTGAGCGGAGGGGGGCATGGGGACAGCTGTCATTTGCAGGGACAGAACTGCTCTGGAACAAAATGGGGCGATTGTCACACAAAATAATGAATGCTCCATGTTCCTGAAATGTGGGCTCTGAGGTAGTTAATTTTATGTTATGAATATTGCACCTCAATTAGAACATACACAGCTACAAATCTGGGAGAAAAGATCAAGGCTGTAAGTTTCTTACTGTTCTCTTTTTTTTTTTTTTTTTTTTTCAGGATAATAACAAAAGTTTTGTGTAAAGGGGGAAAAGTAGACACTGTTTTCTTAGTAATAATTTTCAAAAGAGCAGACAAACCATTTTCATTCTAATATGGCCTTTCCAAGCCTCTAGTACAAAAACATAATCCCATGTCAAAAGCTGCTTTGACTTTGAGTTCTGCCTAGGTTTGCTGAGTAAAAAAAGTGAAAGTTGGACAACCTCCTATCATAAAAACAAAAACTAGAGAAGCAGGACAGAGCAGCTTTGTGTCATAACATTCTGGGAAATGCTGGAAAGTTCCAGAAAATGCTGGAAGGTTCTAGAAGATGCCAGAAATTCCAGAAGGTGCTAGTCCATCTCTGTGACTGGAGTATGTTTTGAGGGCCCCTGGACACTCTGTCATTACTTTCTTGTCCATAAAATGGTCTGATAAGGTGGCCACGCTCTGAGACAACCCCATTCAATCCTTATCCCAGGAGACAGCTTGGTCCTCCCACCACCACACAACACATCCTAGACCCTCTTCAGTCCCCACACCAGCCTGCCCACCACTGGTCATGGGCAGAATCAAGGCCCTGGGCCATCCAGGGTACACCAGGGACCTGGACAAGTGAACAACCATGAGTTAAGATGACCCAATGGCTGCATCCTTTCAGAATGAAGAAATCAAGTGCATACCCAACAGCCATCCTGGTGCTCTCAGAGGCTGAGGCAGGAGGGCTGCATGCTCAAGCCCAGCCCAGGCAACTCAGCCACCAAAGTAAGACTGTCTCAATAAATAAATAAATAAATCAAACAACTCAGCTGCTCCTTTCCCTCAGAGAAAACTGCTGCCCAAAACAGAGGAAGGGGAAGTCAGGCCCCAGCCCCTACCCTCTGCTCTGGCTTCTCGGAAGTGGTCCAAGGGTGTCACCATAGGGCAGCAGAGGTCATACATAACCATGGATTGTAAGAAAAGCAGACACAAACCAAGTGTCCAAAGTCACTTCCTCTGTTCACTTGTTATTCCAAGACATAGTCTCACACAGCAGCCTGGGCTAGCCTCAAACACGGGACCCTCCTGCCTCAGCCTGCCTCGTAGCCAGTAGGCCTGTGCCAACACACCCAGGTTCTTGCTCATCCCTGATGCCTCAGAACTGGTGCCCCTGCCAGCCTGGTGAAACAAGCCTCTAACCCCTGCTCAGGAGGAAGCTGAGGCATGATGGTCACCAGCTTGAGCTCAGTCTGAGTAACTTAGTGAGCCCAGGCCTCATCATCAGTTCCAAGAGCTGGGATGCAGCTCAGGACAAGGCCCTGGGCCGGTCACACTCTGCCCACAGGGGCTGGGCGCTCACCAGGATGTAGTCGGCCCACATGTCCCGCGCAGCCTTGAGGGCAGCCTGCCGAAGCTTCATGACATGCTCATAGCGGGCATCGGACCAGTGCTTGGGGCCCTCCTCGTCTGGGTAGGACCTGTGGAGAGACCCCTGTAACCCGCGGCCGCCAGGGCTTCCAAGAGGCTGGAGAGGAAAGGATCTGACACTGTCCCCAGCAGCAGAGGCTTGCTATGCAAAGTTGGGAAAAAGGGCTCCCGAAGGCTCCGATCAGGGGCGACTCCCTCATGGGGGATCCCATCTGTGTAAGCAGGTGGGGTAAGAAAGAAGTTGGAGCAGGGTACAGAAGTACATGTCTGTCACCCCTGTTGCTCCAGAGGCTGAGGCCAGAGAGTCACAAGCTTCCACCCACTTTGGACAACTCAGCAAGATCCTGTAAAAGTAAAAAGGACTGGGATGGAGCTCAGCACTGATACTCTGGGGTCAGCCCCTACTGCAAAGAAAATGAATCAAAAAATAAATCCTCCAGTGGAGCAAGGTGGCTGGCACTGGCCTTCCCAGCTACTGGGGCAACGGAAACAGGAGGATCTTTGGAGTCCATTCCTTTGAAGCTAGCCTCGGCAAGCCAGCGTGACCCGGAGGCTCATGGGAAAGCTAAGCAAGGTAAGCAGTGATTGGCGTCCGGGGCTCATCCTGACAAAGCAGAGCAGCTCCAACACGGAGGCCCCACAGGTGGTGAAGCCAGGGTGGAGTCCTGCTGGAGCCTCAGGCAGAGACCAAACAGATGGGCGGGACTTCGGCCACACCTGGGCTCTTCGGCAGGCCGCCACTCCACTGAATGGTACAGGCTCTTCACAGCCACCAGCCACTCTCGAAGAACAGCCGACGTGTTGTCCACGTTGTGGTCCGTGGCCACCCTGCCAGGGTAGGACAACAGTCACAGCGGGGAAACCGAGGCAGGACCCAGAGCCAGCAATGCTGCCCGGGCTCCCCACCTGGGGCAAGACCCAGTCCTGTCTGTCCCTCGCTTTCCTCACTGGGTCCCTGCCCAACAAGAACGAGCGGAAACAAGGCAGTTTAGGGCAGAGGGTATAGATCGGTGGCAAAGCGCCTGTCGGGCAAGGGCAAGGTCGAGAGCTCCATTTCCGATATTTAAAAAAAAAAAAAAAAAAGTTGTTTGGGGGACACCCCCAGGGGTCGCTCTCCGGTGTCAGCTTCATCCTGTCTTCCAGCAAGCCACCTTCGTCCTCCCTCCTACGGGACCAGCTTACGTGGCCCAAACTGAACTCCAACTTGCAGCCATCCTGCCTCAGCCTCCCAAGTGGACCACCGTTCCACCGTTCCCAGCAAGTGTAACTTAATTAAATAAATAAAAATCTACGCATGGTGAACCTTGCTAGTCCCACCTTCGCCCTCTCCTGTCACCCACCATGCCCGGTAGAGGGCTACAATAACGCGTTCCCTCCACAAGCTAGCACCACCTCGCGCTCGGTCATCCAGACCGGGTGGGGCGGGGGGACAGAGGGCCTGCAGCTGGGCGCAAAGCTAATACAGCCGGGTGAACGAGGTCAGCGGCGGCAGCCACGACAGCGCCAATCAATCATGACGGAACGGCGCGGCTCGCAGCGCCGGCGCCTCCGCCCCGCTCCTGGCTCACTTTAAACACAAACCCAACTCCCGCCTGGGGAAACCGAGGCAGCACACCGCTTGGTGGCCCACGCCCCGCCAGCCCCTCGGCCACAGTCAAAGCGAGGCAGCCCGGGCCTCCGGCCAGCTCGCACCCGTGGACACCAGGGCCCCACTGGGCTCGGCAGCCCGGTTGCGCGCGGAGCTAAGAGCTCGCGGCGGGGAGCCCAAGCCAGCAGGCGGGCCGCGGGGCCGGGCCGGGCCGGGCCGAGATCGCGCGCGCCGCCCCGCTTACCACAGCGCCGTGCGCTCGCGCGGGTGGCGCAGCCGCTCCAGGGCGCCCAGCGTGGCGGGCAGCGCGTGGGCCGCGTTCCGCGCCAGCAGAGCGATGAGCACGCGCGGCGCCTGCAGCGGAGACTCGGGGCTCCAGCGCTCCTCGGGGAAGTAGGCGGCGGCGCCCGGCGGGGCCCCCGGAGGCGGCGCCAGCAGCAGCAGCAGCAACAGCAGCAGCGGTGGCCGCCCGGAGAGCGGCTGCCCGCCGCGCTCGCTTGCGCGTGGGGCCGCCGCCATCGTTCCACGCGTCTCCTTTAAGCCGCCGGCTGCCAGCGGACGCGGCCGGCGCCTTAAAGGGGGTCAGCGGTCACTGCGGCCCCGCCCTCGGCGCGCGCCTTAAAGGGAAGGAACGCGCCCTACGGGTAGTCTGCTGTCAAATCCGGCTCGAGGGGCCCCGCCCCCGCGCGGCCGTTAAGGCCCCACGGCACCACTTCCCTCCGACACCATAGCCCGCCCTCGTGACGTCGCGACAGCCTCACACCCGCCCCCCCGAAGTCCCGCCCACCCTGAAGTTTTAAAGGTACAGAGAACTCGAGGTCTGGGATCTGGTTGTGAAACCAGGCGCCCTGACCTTTGTCGTCGACACAGTTCAACTTCCCTGTGGTTGAGACCCAGCCTGTACCACCTAAATACCCAGCCAGCAAGGACCCAAGAAATCCGTGCCTCAGTTTCTCCAATTTAGGGGTTGTCAAGCCTTAAGCCCTGGCGTCCCAGTCCTTGTTTTTGTTTTTGTTTTTTTTTTAAATTTGAGACAGGGTCTCACTAAGGCTGAGCTCCAACTGGTGACTCTCGTGCCTGAGCCTCCCAGACTGCTGGGATCAGAGCGTGAAGCACCCTATCTGCTTGATGGTGTTTGTATCGTTCTAAAAACTAACTTTGAGAACGACATTCAGCTAGATGTATGCCCAGCGTAGAGTCACAGGACGCGGCACCCCGCCTTCCTCTTCCTTCGGGCAGCTTCTGGTCCCCTTCTCCATAGTGACCCCTGCAGGAAGCCAACGTGGCCAGGTGTTCGGGAGCAGGGGCAGGACCAGGAGAAAGGGCTGGCCCGCCAGGTGGCCGCAAGCTCAGGCTGCTCCCCCACCCGGGGGAGTCTCTGCCGGGGATCTGTGCCACTGGCCAGACCGAAGGGAAGAGGGATCTGCAGTGCGTATTCCCCGACAGCAACAGCCGCAGAGGGAGTTAACACCGCGGCCAGTGAGGAGACAGAGACTGCACGGTCTCCCTCGCACGCTGGACAGCACGGGTTCGCTGCGGGAGTGAGGGTATCTGGCAAAGCTGGGGTCTGTGCCTTCTCTTGGGAGCTGCCCAAGAGCCCAACGCAGAATGCCAGGAAATTCTCAGCTGAGAGGGGAAGTCGCTCCGGAAGCAGCTGGAGCAGCTGTGATAGGGGACAGGTGGCTGGGGCTTCTTCCTGGGCTCACACCTGACCCTGGACCAGAGTGTTCACATAGTACCAAAAAGAGAAGAGAACCCAGCCCGGCAACCAAAGAAAGAAAGAAGGAAAGGAAAGGAAAGGAGATTTTGGGGCATAAGCAAATTTAGAAAAACAACCTGTAATGGAAACCATCCTATCCTCCTATCCTTAATGTGCAAAGCATAATTTGTTATCAACAAGAGAAAGATGGACACTTTCCAGGAAGAGCAGGTAACAGCCATGGGTGGTTCACTAAAGGATCCCCAAATCACAAAGAAATGGCCAAAGACGACTCTTTTTTTTTTTTTTTTTTTTTTTTGGCAGAACCAAGGATTGAACTCAGGCCCTTGTGCTTGCCAGAGAAGTACTTATTCCACTGAGCCATCTCCCCAGCCCCAAGAGATGACTCTTGAAGTTCAATTTAATCATCAATTCAAAATGTAAGCAACGCAAGGGACACACAACCTCAGTGCCGGAGGTTGAGACAGGAGATCCACAGTGAGGGTGATGAGGGTGCCAGCAGATGGCCCTTGATGAGGCCAGAATGGGGCAGCTGCATGGGGCCACTATGGACCTAAGCCTCAGTTTTCCCCTCTGTAAAGGGTTCAGAAGGGCGCTGAAACCTCAGCCTTGGCAGCAAGTGGCACATACCAAAGGCTCGGTCCTCCAGGATGAAGCAGCAACAGCTTCACAGGAAAGGGTGAGCATCTGCGAGAGAAGTACATGGGTCACAGGTTCTCAGAGAAGCAGCTAGAAACACTTGCTAAGCTGCCTGCACACTGCCAGGCCCAGGTGGGATTGAGGCAGCAAACAGCTGTGACACCCCATGACCCCCTTCATAGTCCTGGGGATGGAAGCCAGCTCTTCCTCCCTTTCTGTAATTGACATGAGGCCCCCAAGTAATGCCCCTTGGCTTTCCATCTCCTGCTCAGCCTCCAGGGTGCAGGTAGGCCACACCTGGGCCAAGTCTCCTGGCTATCTCCAAGCACTTTTGCTCTGCAGTGGGCTGAGCCATGGGTGTGGGTCCTGCCCAGCTGGGGGGGGCACCTTGCCGGTGGCACCCTGTGGCATAGCTGTGAGTGTGAGACACCCAGACCGAAACACCTATTGGGCTGGCGCTGGGTAAATACATTCGTGACTACCGCCAGCCTTCAGCCCCAAGGTCTGGGCATCCGCAAGTCCGCCTAAGATTGTCACCATTTATGTGGGTCCCTGACTCCTCAGCCATGTCTCCACGGGCATCAAGCTCAGGAGAAGAACCTGGGTCCTCACCTGCTGCCTCCAGGTCCCAGGGAAGCTCTGAGTGCCCCACCAGAGTGCAGGACACGTCACTCCTACCCAGGGCCTCCCGCAACTCTGAAACGAGATGAGCCGTTGGACACACCTGGGGGTACCTGGACCTTGCAGGCCCCACATGGCCTGGGTGGAGGCAGAAGCAATGCCACCCACAGCTCTGCCAGGCTGCACTTGGGCAGACATGGCCAGCCAATCCCACGTCCCATAAGCCCATGCTAGCCCACAGACAGCATAAATTGATGACCGATCAGGTAACCTCTAGGGAGCTCATTCTCGTCCCACCTCAGTGTTGAACTTTCCACCAAACAATAGCGTTTTTTGAATTTAAGACTTCTGCTGTTCTAAAGGAGCTCAGTCTTCCTTGTGGCTGCCCACAGATGGAAGACGCAGCCACAAGCTCAGCCCTGGCTCTGGGGGCCCGGCCATAGCTAGCTTCTCTGGCCTTCTGCATCCCTCCCTTGGCATTTGTTCTCAACCCCTGGCCTTCTGAGCCTCTGGCCTGATTCTGATCGCACTCCTGGGCTCTGCGTCCTTGGTGCTGCACCTGCTGGGGGTCTGTCCTTTGTCCCAGGACCTAGCCTGCCCTCCTCCATTGCTTTAAGTCTGGCTGCTCTCACTCTCTCACCCTCTGTGGCTCCCAGTGGCCTGTGCAATGGAATCTAAACTTCTCTGCCTGAGGCTCAAGGCCCAAAATTCCAGTCACGCAGACACTTTGACATCACTTCTGTTGCCAGTGGTCGCCCCACATCTGCCTCCACAAACACATATGTGTCAGTGGCCATGGCTTCCTGAGCAGATCAGTAAGGTGAGAAGAAGAGAAGTGTGTACAGAGCGGCTTTCCAGCCCTGGAGCTCCAGATCCAAGAATGCTTGGGGACTCTGTGCCAGCTAGAGAAAACCGTAAGTGGTTGTTGAACGAACAAAGGTGAAAATCTGCCTGGCTTTTGAACCGCGCCTCTTCTTACCCAGAAGACTTCTACACAACCCTCAGAAGTTCACTTGGGGGCTCCATCAGTGACCACCCCAACTCTGCCCAGGTCCTGACCCTGGCTGGAAGGGCAGCTATTTTCAGGTGATGTCCTTGGGCTCACCTCGGTTGATCCTCTGCAGCAGGATCCCACGGATGACATCCTCCAGTATGCCCCAAGTGGTCAGGGCCTGGCTGCCTGTGACAAGGTCACCCACGTCAAGCTCGGGCAGCTCCTGCAACACACACGGAACCAGATGGGCAGGCTGACAGCCGAGTCTTCACCAGCCAGGTACAGATTCAGTCTCAAGGATCCCGAGTGGCTGAGATGAATGTGACTCCCCAAAGCTGGGCACAGAAATTGGATGAACCAGAGGCAAGGGCTGGTGCAGCCCACAGCGCGTGTGCTAGAACTGCAATTCCACTTGCAGATTCCTGAAGAGGCGATTCCACTGGGCCACCTAGCACTGGGAAGACTAAGGCAGAAGGATCGGTGTGTACGCAGCAAGTTCAAGCCCACCCTGAACTATGTGGAGAGAGCCTGGCTCAAAAACAAAAACAAAACAAAAAAGAAGTGCTCCTGTCTCAAGGATCCTGCACCCGAGAAGGGGCTACCATCGCAGAATGCCTCCAGCTCTGACGCCGGTCCCGCAGTGCCCTCAGGGATGGCCCCTGCCCTGCGTCCCCCCAGGGCACCCTCCCACACCCGCTCACCGCTTGGCCGCTGGGCTCCAGCCAGCGCAGCAGGAAGGGCAGGAGGACGCGTAGTAGCCAGCCCCGTACAAACTCACTCCGCGCCGCCGTGCCGTCCGCTGACAGCTTCTGCGAGACATGGGCTGTCGTTGTCCGGTGTCCCTGCTCCCCGGGCCCTGTGCCCTGCCCGCTCCTCACCTTCAGCACGCGCCCCCAGACTTTCTCCAGCTGCTGGGCCGCCTGGTCGCAGTCGAGGGTGGAAGTGAGACTCTGGTCAGCCAGCTGCAGGAAGGTGGCCACCGCGTCGGCAGTGAGCTGCAAAGGGCCGCGAAGTGACCACGCTGTACTCTGGTCTGTGCCGCTTCCTCCACGCCCACCCCCAGTGCCAGGGAACCAAGATTCAGAAAAGCAGCGCCACCCGTCTGGGTCCCCACAGAGGGGCGCTCTTGTGCAGCGCGTATGCTGGACTACTGTACCAGGCAGCAGTGGGAAGTCGCATCTGTCCTCGTTTCCCTGAGCATTTCTGGTTGCTTCTAGCCTCCCCTCCTCCTTCCTCCTCCTCCACTCGCTGGTCTGTCCCTCTCCTATTTCTCCGTCCCCTTTGCCCCGCCCCTTTCCAAATGCCTCTCCCTGCAAATGCTGAGGACCCGTTCCTCAGGGCTCTTCCTTCTGCCCAGGAAGCGCTCCCCCTCCGTGTTCCCCCTCTGCCATCCCAAATAGGGGTCCCCTCCTCCGGAGCTGAGCAAGCGCCTGAGGGTCCCACAGCACCTTCAGCGACCACGGAGCCATGACCGCCACGTGGGGTTGCCGCCCGATCGCTGACCCTGTTGACAGGAGACTGGATGCAGTCGTCCCAAGGTCCCTAGCCCGCATGTGATGACCCCCCCCCCGGGGAAGGGGGCTATGTCTCCATCACCCATCCTCACCTGCTGGGCGAGGTCCTGTGCCCCGAACACTAGGGTCTGAGTCCCCAGGAAACCGAATGGAGCCACCAGCTGCTCCAGGCGCCCCCGGCCACACTCAGCCTCGCGGTAGCAGAAGTGCATGAGCTCAGGGTCCCAGGGCAGCTCCCCCAACCAGTGCACCTGGCCGTGTCACCAGAGAGACACCGTTAGTCACAACAGGGCCATCGCAGGGGAGCGAGAGGATGGGGAGAGCAGCCAAGGCTGACTGCTAAAATTCCCGATCTTTCGGCAGAATTGGGGCTCGAACGCAGAGCCTGCACAGAGCTGCTTCTCAGCCCAGAGTGCTGGGATCACTGACCCAGGGCCACCTTGCAGGCTCCAGCCCGCCCCAATCCGCCCCGCCTACCAGGCTCAGCTCCCACCTTTGCCCGCCCACTTACCGCCCCTCGCAGTCGAGAGCCCCTTGGGCTCCCACGCAGGCGGCCACACACGCGGTCCACGCCCCGAGCCAGCAGGGTCTGCACGGCACCTAGCGTGGCCTCCACAGTGCTCAGCAGCGTCCGCGCAAGCTGAGGCAACTGCGGGTCCACGCTCCGCTGTAGGCAGGTCTCCAGCCGGACCTGAACGTCCGCTGCGGGTACAAACACTGCTTGCTGGGTGCCAGGCTCAGCGGGAGGAGACGCGCGTGCACCCAGCACCCGGGGCCACCCCACCGCACAGGTGAGAAGCTGAGTTAGCCATGGACTATTAGCCTGACAGACCAGAGAGGCAGTCGTATTTGAACCATATCTGCTTACCGAGTGGAGAGGGCGCCGCTATGCCCGAGTCCTCGCCTGTGCTCAGCCAGGCTCGGGCAACTCGCCCTTCTCGCCCAGCGTCACCTGCTGCGATCCAGCGCCTGCCTCCCCTTTTGGAGCCTCCAGACCACGCCCACTCTGTTTTAGGCCCCACCTTTCTACCTGCACAGCCCCACCAGGGCGTAGTATAGCGAACTGCAGGCCCCGCCCCTACCCACGCCCTGCTCCCATTCGAGTTGTCTAGCCCCACCCCACCTTCCAAACCCAGCCTTCTGCCTTGACCCACCCCTTCCCAGTAAAGACCACGCCCCACCCCAACCAAGTCCCTCACTGGCCCCGCCCACCCACCTAGGCCACACCCACTCACCATTTAGATCCTTGTTTGACCCCACACCTCTTTGCCTTCAAGGTCCCTTTCAGAATATTGTAGACTCAAGGCCCCACCCCTACCATTTTGTGGCTTCTTTCCAAGTGTTTAGCCACACCCTTTTACCTGACAATTCAATACCTACCCTGCCCCACCCATCAAAAGACCACGCCCCTTCATCCTGGCCACGCCCCTCCACCAATCATGTACCCTCTGCTGTCACAAACCAACCCACTTGACCACGCCCCCTATCTTGGCCACACCCCTTCCCTACAGCGCTGAGCTTCGGACCAGACCGTGCCTGCGTCATTCTGGCTCCGCCCTCTATAACAGCCCCGCCCAACGCGCTGGCCCCGCCCTTTTCAACCCGGCCACGCCCCGAGATTCTGTCACACCCTTCGCTGCCCCGCGGCTCACCCCGCAGCCCGCCCGCCGCGCGTGTTCGCAGCTGCAGCGTGTGCTCCAGGTCCGGGCGCAGGGTCCTTTCCAGCGCGGAAAGCAGCTCGTCCTTCTCGGGCTGGAAGGCGCGGAGCCCCGCGGAGGCGGAGGCCAGGACCACGCAGTAGATGGCTTCCCGGAGCTGGCGGCGCGGCGGGGAGTGGAGGGCGGGTGAGGGCATGCAGGCGGGCGGTGGGCGGGCGGGCATGGGGGAAGTGGACTACCTCGTCTGGCGCCCAAGTCCCGCGCGCGGCGGCGTCCTCTCTCGCAGTCCGGGTCCGGGTCCACGCGGGCAGCGGCTCCCGCAGCAGCACTGCGCTCAGCACCTGCGGACAACGCGGTGGGCGGGCGGGCACGGCCGGGCGGGCAGGAGGCCGGTGGGTCGACAGGGGCAGAGACACTGACCTCAGCGTCCGAGCCCAGAGTCGCGTCGTCATCCCCGAAGTGGCCACGCTGCCGCCGGTAGAACCGCACGGCGTCCAGGAAGGCCCGGGCCGCCGGGTCGCGGCTGCGCTGCAGGACTGAGGGGGGTGCAGTTCAGCACCCCCGGACCTCCCGCGGGACCCGCCCCCAAGACTGCGCTTGGCTTAGGAAAAGACACCCGTGCGAGGACCCCTCCTGACCAACAGCGAGGCCGCACTGCGGGCCCTCGGTTCGGGACCTTTGCGCAGTCCACAGTCTACCCAACTGCACGTACCAGTCCAGTCCCCCTTACCTCCGGCGCCACCCCCGACTGAACTGCACAGCTGTCCCTGCCACCCGACTGTGACAATCCTCATAGCTGCCTCTTTTCCCCGATAGCCCATTTTAAGGCTCACAAAACTGAGGCCCAGACCCCACCTGTGCCCCGAAGCCGGATACCACCCTGAAGAGCTAGGCTCCAGGCGCGCTGCGCCTCGGTGGACGGCGCGGAGAAGCAGAGGTGCTGGCGGAAGGGGTGCTGTAGGAGGAGCGGGGAGCACGCTCGTGCCTCTGGGAGCTGCTCAGGGTCTGCGGGGAGTGAGACACACTCAGGCGTCAGTCCCTCACCGCGAAGGCCCAACCACTTTAAGTCAGCAGTGGACAGGACCTGCACCCCTTGGTCTGTTTCTCTGCCTATGAAAGGAGCCTCACAGGGACACTAGAGGGAGCAGGTGTGGGGACCATGCCTGTGAGCCCTGGGCTTGAAAGGTTGCACAGGAGGGTCCCCTGAGTTCAAGGCCAGCCTGGGATACAGGCTAAAAACCCCAAAAACCTCAGAAGACCACAAATCAAAACAGAACAAAAATCAAAGGGCCATACTGATGACATAAGATTGGAAGAAAAGGGGCCAGGGAGATAGCTCAGTAGAATAAGCGCTTGCCTGGCAAGCTTGAGGGCCTGAGTTCAATCCCTGGTTCCGCAAAAAAAA